CATTTTTCTATATATATGCACCATATAACACTCTTTATATATATATATATATATATATATATATATATATATATATATTTTACCGTTATGCAATTTAAGCAGTTGTACAGCACAAATCAGTAAATTTTAACCTTAATTTTTTTTTTTTTTTTTTTTTATAAAAATTTATTTAAAATGATAAATTTTAACCTTCAACATTATAATGTAGTACCAACTTACTCTCATGCATATTTTAGTTGAGAGATTTTTTTTCCTTGAGAAATTTGGCATGTAGCTACACTGTACCTGATATGTATCCAAAATAATTGATATTGAATCGAATCTAATCAAATTGGTAATCGAATCGAATCGCAAGCTTGTGAATGAGAATCGAATCGAATCGCAAGCTTGTGAATGAGAATCGAATCGAATCGCAAGCTTGTGAATGAGAATCGAATCGAATCGCAAGCTTGTGAATGAGAATCGAAACGAATCGTGAAATTTGTGTCAAAACCCAGCCCTAATACTTATTATATTTTATTGTGCTAAAGTGGAACTATTGCAAGTACACTTCAGGAACATTTTACATTTAAAGACCACCCTAGTGAAAAAAAAGTATACTAAGTATACTTGCAGCCAGACTAATTGTCAGTATACTTCAAGTGTGTTAATGATTAGTTACCTTGAAGTGTGCTATTTTGGAACAACTATTTTTTGTACTAAGTGTATTTTAGTTGTAATTAAATTATACTAAAGTATAACTTTAAGTGTATTTAGTGTACTTTTCTATGCTAAATTGGAACAACTTCAAGTATACTTAGTACACTTTAAGTATATGCCTATTTACATGCTTGATTAGTGATATTAAAGTGTACTTTTTTTTCACAAGGGCAATATAACTCAAAGATCATACAATCTTCATCAAAACTGACATTAAAACACATTTTAGACTTCATATTAAGAATTGTGCATTGTGCACAAGTAGTACGCCAAATAAAGCATAATTATAATTTTTTTATATCAGCAAGTTTTGAGTTATCTGTCAGTAAATATGTTAATAGATTTTAACTATACTTAGTATGAAATAAATTAATTTTAAATATATTACTTTTTACTAGGGTGGCAAAGCTGAATTTTCAGCATCATTACTTCAGTCTTCAGTCATGATCCTTCAGAAATAATTTCAATATGCTGATTTGCTGCTCAAGAAAAAAAATCTTATTTTCAATTTGAAACAGCTGTCCTGCTTAATATTTTTGTGGAAGCCATGATACTGTTTTTCAGGATTCTTTGATGTGACGTTTAAAAGAACAGCATTTATCTGAAATATAAATCTTTTGTAACATTATAAAATGTCTTTACTATCATATTTATTCAGTTGAATGCATCCTTCCTGAATAAAAGTAATGTCTTTTTAAAACAATAGAGCATAGAGACAATGATTTATGTATGTATCATTGTCAATAAAATAAAGATGCATGCAGAATATCTCTAGCTCTGGATTAAATTGCACTATGAATTGTGACGTTCCATTGAATGAATTTTGTAATTCCAGATTAGGTTGGTTAACATACAATGAATATGTCTTTAAAAAAATAAACAAACAAAACGCCTTTGCAACCTGGACTACTGATAGGCCTAAACCTTTGTTGATAAAGCCTACAGAAAGCCTATGTGAATACGATTAAAGAATCTCACACACTGCCAAAGGAAAAGAGTGATTCATGCAAAACGCAGCATCTTTAGTAGTTATCAGTGGGCTCTCCTCAGCGGCCGGCAGTACTGTATACAGCAAAAAACTGTATTTTTGAATTACGGAAAATTACTGTTATTTAATGTGCCTGTTATTTTACGGTATTTTTCCGGCACCCCAACTGCCAGAATTTTACCGTTTTTTTACGGGATTGTTTTTTACACATGCATCTCATTAAGAAGGAAACTGGCTCGATTTTGCAGGAGTAAGTCTAATACATACCATTAATACAGAGTGGATGCACAGACTCATACGGAGACTGAAAAGCAAAAGAAAAATTTTTTGTTTTCATTTATTTATTTTTTAGACTGACTGGCTTGCTGGACACAATTTGGCCTGGTGTTTTTTAAGACTCCCTGTTTATATCCTGAATCAATGCATTATCGCTGTTATTAAATCTGATTCAGAACATAATTAGCTTTACCTCAAGACACTCTACATAATGAGTCCATCAGAATGCTCATTACATCTGATCAGTATAAAATACATTTCTGTCTGTCCGTGTGTTACCCTCATTTCTCAAGGCTAGGAATGCAGTCAGATTGTTTAGGCTAGTATCATGGTTTCCACAAAAATATTAAGCAGCAAACCTGTTTTTAACATTAATAATAATAAGCACCAAATTTCTGAAGGATCATGTGACACTTAAGACTGCAATAATCCCTGCTGAAAATTCAACTTTGCCATTACAGGAATAAATGACATTTCAAAATATATTGTTTTATTTTAAATTATAATAGTATTTTAGAATATTACAGCATTCTTTGATAAAATAAAAGCACCCTTGACAAGTATAAGAGACTTCATTCCAAAAAAAAAAAACATTTTGTCATATATATTATATAGCTTTGCCAGTTAAACACTGTATTTGGTATATTTACATTTTATTTAACAAAGGACAAGCCCGAGCCCATTTATTGGACACAAAGGCAGCTCTAAATCTCAGCAATGCAATCTTTATTGATTGTTGAGCATATCTCTGTGGAAAGGCCACTCTCTTCTAGCTGCCATGTCTGATATTTGCCTGTACCCATCTGTTGTGCCAAACAGGAAGGGAATAAGTGGCTGGTGGAAATGAGGCTCAGTTTATCTGCCTGTGGCAGTGACATGATAATAAAATAAGCGCAATCCACTCTGTAATCGTCCTTGTGATTCAGGACCCTGTCATGTTCAATCAAATGAGAGAAGGACTTTATAAATGCAGAAAGTGGAATTATTCTTTCACAACAATGCACTGATAGCTGATGTCAAACAAAGTTAATAAGCCAGCGCTCTATTTTTCTCCTGCCTCTATCATTTCTCTTACTCTAAATGAAAGATATGTGTGCATCACGTTCCCTCATTCTGCACCATATTTTGGAGTGCGTGTCATTTGGTGCCTTTTTGTCAGTATGTATGCAAAAATGTTTCTTGTCCTCCACATCTGAAAAACAAGCTAAAACAGATTTCTTTTTTTATCCTTGTTTTTTGTTTGAAGTCAGCAAAACTTTCTGGCAGTATATTTAACATTCCCTGCCAACGTTCTGGTGGTCTGGCAAAGCATTTAAAACTCAGTTGCTTTGACGCTGGCTTCTGCAAGATGTCCATCCAACTGGATCAGATCTTTTTGTAAAAGCATGTCAGATGAGATGCACATACAACACATTCACATTTGTATAGAAATGTATTTTTATGTCAGGTTTGCTGTTTTTTCTTTCCACAGGATTACAATGATGAGATCAGGCAGGAGCAACTTCGTGAGCTCTCCTACTTAAATGGCTCAGATGACCCAAGCCGAGGAAGAACCGCACGAGGACGAGGCTTACGTCTGACCTCCACAGCCTCCACTCGGTACAGTAGCTTCACCTCACCACCCCTCTGAACAATCACAGAAACCTTAAAGGAATAGCTCATCCAAGTATGCCATCATTTATTCACCCTTTGAGGAATATTTTTAGTCTTATCAGAAGGAGAAAATGTCTGCCTTTCAGAAAAGCTCAGGCTCAGGTAACTTAACAGGGAAGAAGTTTTAAGCTAATGAAGCTGATACTAGTTAGGAAAGTACAAAAATTAAAAAATGTAAAATAAACAAGGGTGGACATGTTATGTTATATGCTAATAACCCCAAAAAATACCAGCAAAAATATCAGCATGCAAGTTTGGAATGATATGAGTAAATGAGAAATAAGTTTTGGGTGAACTATTCCTTTAACTAACATAGTGATATAATTGTGCTTGTTAATAAATTAAGTACAAATCAGATCTGAAAGAATAAATATCATATAACGTTAACAAAATCTTATTCTGCATTTCTGATGAAACGGAAGTCATCCAAGTTTACTCTAACTGCTTTAACTCTAACTGTTAACAACTCTAACAGAGGCCCAATTTTCACTCCCAAACATCTGCGCGCTGTTGAATCACGAAAGTGCCCTGAGGCTCAGTGTTATTAATCAGGTTAGCAGGTGAAGCTTTAATTGTTCTCATCAAAAGCATAACTTATATATACCGTCATACATTATTTAAACCATCTTTAATGTTTATTTCATACATTTCACACTGCAATTGTTCTGGCTTGCTTGAGCCTCTGAAGATCCCTCTAGGATTCTCCCAAAACAACGACAGCTTGCATTACCTCAGGTGGTAATAATAGATTCAAAATATGATCTTTCTGTTTACCGTTCCTGACGGATAAACCTATAAAGCGCCTCTTGCCCTTGATGTGCCCTGAGAAGTCATTACCACAAATCAGCATGGCAAAAACAACAACACTGATGAGGCCATTAGTCTCTGTAGGATCTTTAGATTTGGATGGACAAAATGTAGAATTGGACAGACCGAAACATCTGCCTTTCACCAGTGCTGCCAGCTCCATCTGCCATGCTGCAACAGTAATCAGGTTGAAAATTACTCCAGAAATGGACAACTTCACCCCTCGATTCCACAATGGCAGCACAAGGGAGCGAAATAAAGCTGTCTCTCATCGCACTGAATGAAACAATGTGTTCTACAGACTGATTTTTGATGCCATTCTTCACTGCCACTCTTACAGTGTGTAACCAGAGCAGAGCAATGAAAGAAAAGAGCTGAGGCAGTGAATATTGCAATATCTTTGAAAACTCTGCTGTCTCACCTTATTGAATCACTGGCATTATGGTTCACAGGGCTTTAATAGGCTGTCGGTGATTAAAACACCAGCTAACAGCAACCCACTATTATAGCACTGCAGCAAATGACTTCACACAAAATGCTAATTTTTTTTTATCTGTAAACATTGGAGTTGTGCTGCACTAATTTTGAATAGAGCTGCCACTGCATCAAGCCTTTGGTTTGTGTCTATACAGAAATGTGTGGTTCTGCAGAAGAGATATATCACAGCAATATCAAACAATTATGGAAAGGTTTGGTGCTGATATACTATCAAATTAACACTTTTATTGAAGCGCCTAAGAAAATAAATACTGTACAATGTAAATGACTTACAGTATTCATATGAATCAAAATTCTCATACATTAAGCTAAATCTACACAGACACAAACTATTTTGAGTTTTTTTTTTATTATTAGTTCAAATAAATTTAAATTATTGTCATTATTGGAGAGTTGGTTTATCAGTATTTTTGTATTTTATTTTAATATGAAATGCATACAAATATAATAAAATAAGCAATTAAAAAAAATAACAACAAATATACTGCGCCAAAAATCTGAATAAATATATAAAATATTATAATATAAAATATAATATGTATATTTTCATAAAACAAAATAAAATAAGAAAAAAATAATATATTTCTATTATATATTACAGTATATCATATATTTTCTCTTACTTCATGTCTTTAGAGGTCGAGGGGGGGCAGCTCCACCCCCTCCACCTGGACGAGGAGCAGCAGCACCCAGAGGAACTGTGGGAACACGCACCTCCGCCCCAACACCCACACTAGCCAGGGGAGTGTCTGCACCCCGGGCCAGAGGAACTACAGGGACCCCTGGTTACAGAGTCCCACTACTGCAGGCCACGCACAAATCATATGATGACTACGTAAGTCAAGATTAAGTGTTTTTAATGACAATTAATTGTTTTGAAGTGTGTAAGGTACGTGTTTTAGTTTTGTTTGAAGAACTACTGAGGTAGAAACGCTTTGAGTTGATCCTTAAGGATTCTTGTACAAGGAATGGCCTTTCTATTTACCAAACGTTGAATGAGTCAGTGAAGACAGAATCCATTCTGACAGATTGAATGCCATAAGATGTTAGTCTACATGCTGAATACTGTAAAGAAAAGCCATGTGGTGCAAAAAGAAAAGCATCTGCTCACTTGATTGACTGTTGTCTGTGAGACGATGAGCTTGACTATCACTATCAGTATCTGACTACCATTACCAGTATTATAATTATTGATGATGGTGATGATGATGATGATGATGATGATTATTAAACAATAATGGAAGCTTTTGCTGATTTGTAGGACAACACCTACACATTGCAGACTTTTTGTACCCAGGTGTGCACAAGGTTATTTTTGCGAATTCTCAGCCAAGTGAACGTCAAACTCCAACCTAATGAAAAAAGCAATATCTCATGGATTCGATTCCCTCTGAGCTTTTGCCTAATGCAAAAGCCCTATATGTGCAGCGCTTTGGCAGATTGGTCTGTCTGCATGGGGAAATGTTAGAGTACAGACTCATTACCAACGTGAATTGAGTTCTGCTGGAGAGCCTCTGTATTATGGGAGACATGGAAAACGTGGACATATTTCTGTGAGTAATTGGGTCTGGGGTAGGCAGGTGGAGGAAAGAGGACTAAGAAATGAGCAGTTCACTAGGAACATATTGTATATCTTTCAAAATCTAACCTTGCCAATCCTCAACCTCTGGATTTTTACCTAGACTTTGAGAATTCCAGAATGTGCATGCATATTTGTGGAAATATATATAAGTGCATATAAAAGTGTATATGACTATGTACAAGTGTATCTTGTTTCTATATTTTATACTGTATATTACACATAGAGAGAGTTATCTGAATCTGAAAATTTAATCTTGTATTACTTATTCACATTTCTTTGGTAAGAATCATTTCAAAGATTCAATATCTTTCTGAATCATATTACATTTGTATGATTAACATAACAGCAGAAGAGTTATATTACAGTAATATCAAACAATCATGTGAAAGTGTATAAATAATGAAATACTATAGTCAAATTAAAACTTTTACTGAAGTGCCATAATGAATTCTTATAGCTACACAAAGCTAACCTGTTTTGAATATGAAGTGCAATTTTTGATACGTGTAGATATTACATATGTAAATATAACATTTATTAATAATAATAAGATATTAATTAGATTTTTTTTTTGCCTTGGATATTTTATCCAAACCCTTAAAAATAATATGTCCTTCCACTTGTCATTAAAAAATGACAGGTACTGTATAGTCAACAAGCAGCTTTGAACATATTATTTTGAAATGTTACAGCAGTCTAGTTTTTCTACTAAGCCACAGAGATATGTGTATATATGTGTTCAATAGAAATAGTCTTTTTTTCTGTTATTAATTTGCTGTCTGCTTTTACACAAACTTAAACTGTCATCCAAGTTTAAGATGTATAAAATGAAGACACATGAATATCCACTGTTGTGTGGCAGCGTTCTGCTCTTTTTGTGGGTGAGGATTTGAATCCAGTTAATCACAGCTCTTATGTATATCAGCCGAGCCGTGCCAGACTGCCTCCTCCTCTCCCTCTCAGCACAACAGCTTTACTCAAAGATCACAAGTGCTTTCTCAGAGGGCTCTTCACTCTTCTACAAACCAGTCAGACACTCCACTATGAGCTGACGCCCCTTTTCCTCCCACAAAATAAACAGATCTCTGAATGTGGCTTAGTAGAAAACTAGACGGCTGTAACATTTCTAAATAAAATGTTCAAAGCTGCTTGATGATTTGTAATTTTCCAGCTTTTCTTATCTGTTGGCCATTGTTTGTATGTTGTTTGATGTTAAAATACTTTTTCTTATCCCAGCTTAATATGCGGAGTGCTTGTAAGTCATTTGTAGGTTGAGTATGCTGAAAAGTGTAAACACTGAGGCTCTGTGGTGTTATCAAAACATTGTTTTGTTTGTTTGATTATCCTGACCAGCCCAGCATAGCAACAGGGTCTCAGCCAATTGTGTTAGTTTGTGGCGGTGCTATCTGTTTGTTTTGACCAATGGCAAACAGGGGAAAGGTGTTTGAGAACAATAATTATTTTTCCATTTCTGTTCGGTAACTCTAGTGGTGCAGCAATAACACACTGGAGAATTTTTTTTGTTGTTGACAATTTACCCTCTTGTCCTTTAGAAAACTCACAAGACTTTTGTTCATTTTTGAATCACAAACTAAAATATTTTTAATGGAACCTGAGAGATTTACAGTAGCCTACATCCTACCATTGAAAGTCCAGTCCAACCAAACGCTTTAAACAGCATTAATCAAGCATGTTTGATTTTACATTCATCATATACTGTATGTACTGTACGATATGTGCATTTATCAATGTTTATATGTGAATTCAAAATATGTTTATTTGTGTTTTGAAGATGAACTAACGTCTTTGCAGGTTTTGAATGATGTGAGGGTGAGAAACTGATGACAGATTTTTCATTTTGGGGTAAACTAACCCTTTAACCGCCTCACAGTTTTCTTTTTTTCCTGCATGACAGGGGAAAGGTGTTTGAGAACAATAATTATTTTTCCATTTCTGTTCGGTAACTCTAGTGGTGCAGCAATAACACACTGGAGAATTTTTGTTGTTGTTGACAATTGACCCTCTTGTCCTTTAGAAAACTCACAAGACTTTTGTTCATTTTTGAATCACAAACTAAAATATTTTTAATGCAACCTGAGAGATTTACAGTAGCCTACATCCTACCATTGAAAGTCCAGTCCAACCAAACGCTTTAAACAGCATTAATCAAGCATGTTTGATTTTACATTCATCATATACTGTATGTACTGTACGATATGTGCATTTATCAATGTTTATATGTGAATTCAAAATATGTTTATTTGTGTTTTGAAGATGAACTAACGTCTTTGCAGGTTTTGAATGATGTGAGGGTGAGAAACTGATGACAGATTTTTCATTTTGGGGTAAACTAACCCTTTAACCGCCTCACAGTTTTCTTTTTTTCCTGCATAATATACAGTTTTAATGTGCTAACTGTTTGAAAACCCAGTTAAAAAGCATACAGAATGCCTTCTAAGGTCACAACCAGGTCACTGTGGATAAATAAATGAAAAGGGTCAATCGCTGTGAAAGAAGCCCTTGAGTGTCTCGGATAGTATCGCAGTAAACCTCTTACACACACAATCACACACCACTTCACATGGCAAAAGCCAATTCAATGTGCAGAATAGAATGTTGCGAAAAGGCTTCATTCGCACTATTTCAAAGCAAGGTTCTCACCACGGCTGTAATTGTTTTTTAACAATGGGCTCGCTTACACCGCTGACTTGACATTTCTGAGGTGAACTAATTATTGAAATGGAATTCTTCATGCAGAACTCCCTCGTTTAATAAAACAGATGTACGACATACACCTCGAGAAGAAGTTTAATAATTTCCTGCTTGAAGAGATGCATGTGGAGTGCCTAGAGGCTCAGTATATTATTTCAGCTCTGCACATGAGAAGGCAGTTAAAAAACTGGGAAAAGTAGCATTTGTGCTTTTGCTGTGAAAATATCAAGGAGGGATGAGCTGCATGTCATGACCGGTTAAATTGTTGTGTACAGTACATGCAAATATCAACCTTTATGATTTCTATGAGCTACAGCATATTTACTGGTCAGTGATTACTGAATCAGGGAACACTGGCTACAGCTATCACAACTCCTTGTCGTGCATGTAATAACGCCTATTAAAATTTATTGCAACATGATTTGCAAATGCGCAGTAGATTGCTCCGTTCCAGGAATTGCTGCTTCTGAAGGTTAAAAGTAATAGCCTACTTGTCTGTCATCAGCTTACTGAATTAGTTCTTTTATTTGGGTGATTGTAAAAGTTTATGTAACAAGTAATATGTGCTCCTATATTTCTACAGTGAGATCTTTGGCAATAAACAGTCCTAGTTTATCACATTTCTGCTGCCACTTTCTTAGTACTGGCAAACGACTGTGCTTTCAGGCAAAGCCAGTGCTTTCTAAACTGTTATTTTAGCTCTATAATTACTCATGTGGTTGTTCTTGGGTTGGTGGAAGGTGCCTTAATGATTTCCAGTGAGAGGTTATCATATATGACTAGACATATCAATTATCTGTATTTCCAGTTTGTAAGTGGTAAGAACTTTTAATTCTGTGGAGAAAAATCATAGAAATATCCTGGCCATAGACAATAATTTGCTTGATCAAATTATTTGAGATATTGTTTGCCTAAAGCAAAGACTGTGTAAATCTGTCCTGAATATGTGAAGATTTCTCTACACATGGAGCAACACATGGTAATTGACATATTTGCATGGAAATGTATGGAGAAACTCAGAGAGCACTGGTTTTAGAAAAATAATCTATTTAATCAGATCCTCAACAAATCACAACAATTCCATGCAGTTAAATGTAACATACAGTGGGTACGGAAAGTATTCAGACCCCCTTAAATTTTTCACTCTTTGTTATATTGCAGCCATTTGCTAAAATCATTTAAGTAAATTTTTTTTCCCTCATTAATGTACACACAGCACCCCATATTGACAGAAAAACACAGAATTGTTGACATTTTTGCAGATTTATTAAAAAAGAAAAATAATAGTTATTTTACAAATAATTTCCCATACCAGGATGACTAAAGTCCACTTAAACTCATGATTCTAATATATTTAATATACAGTGCTACATAAATATTGTTATTTATTTCCTAAATGTTGGCCAATTGGTTTTGACTAGTGAATTGCTGATGCAAATACAAACAGAGATGCCAAAAAAAAAGTTAATTATCCTTTTTCCAATAAACTGTGGTTAACTGAATGTAATATTTAATTCATTTAAACCTATTAGTCACTAATC